CCTGTGAGTACTTAACAGAGCTAAGCCACCTTCAAACTGCTATTAGGTGGAAAGGAGAGGAAGAAACAAGTTAATCACTAGTTCCCTGCTCATTCATCCAAAAAAAAAAAGCCTGCCAAGTAACATGGTAAGTCCACATGGCCAGACTACTGGCCAAGAATCCCATTCAGGAAGAAACTTTGTGGAGAACAGGGACACAATGACATAAGAAGTCCATCCCACTACCCAGTTCTTCATTCTTAAATATAAACCAAGAACAAAGTAACATTAGTCATTAATGAGTACAGACGGTATCTCTTTCTATACCTTGAAACACCAAGTCATCAACTGTGAATATGAGAGTCATTATACCTGGAACAAAAGTGGTGGCAGAAAGTCATGCTTTATGGTCTCGTATGGAAATGTGTATTTGGAGAATGACCAAAGGAACTAAGAGAATAATATAATGGTTCCTTGGTCACTACTCTCAAAAAATCTGGAGTCTTAGCTTTGAATAATAACTCTTTATATTTTTTTAATTTTTCTCTCTCAAGTTCTTTACCATACATTATTTTAATTTTTCCAGATTGGTAAGAAATGTAAAGGGCTTCCTGGTGGCTCAGATGGTAAAGAATCCACCTGCAATTTAGGAGACCTTGGGAAGATCCCCTGGAGAACGGAATGGCTACCCACACCAGTACTCTGATCTGGAGAATTCCATGAGCAGAGGAGCCTGGCAGGCTACAGTTCATGGGGTCGCAAAGAGTTGGACACAACTGAGCAGCTAACACTTTGACTTTTCACTTTTCCCAATTAACAGGAAGATTCTGGCCTGGAGAATTCCATGGGCTATATAGTCTATGAGGTCACAAAAAGTTGGACATGACTGAGTGACTCAGTTTCACTTTCAAGAAATAGAGAAAGAAATTAACTTTTTAAACACAATAATTTTCAAGTCTACCATTTATTGAATGCACCCACATGACAAGAGAGTTCCATGCTAGTAGTAAGCACTGCTGGTGCTCAACCTAGACCCCCTTTTCCAGGCCAGTGGACCCAATTTCCAGCTGCTGCAAGCATTGGCTATGCTTGGCTCATAGCTTCCCTCTTTCCCAGAAAACTGATCTACACCAATAAAGATCACCTTTCTCCAGTAGAGTATACCCATGCTCCAATGAGTGTCTTATTTTAAGATCAGCTGTTTATGACCCCCTTGACTCAAGGTGGGAGGGATCAATTCTGTGGGGCATTTCATGCTCCTGAGACCCCCAAGAAGTCAGACTAAATCAAGAGTTCAGCTCAGCCACATTCATTTTCTCCCTCTTCCCCTCCCCACTTAACTTGCTTTTCTCAAAATAAGATGGGTGTCACAAATCCCAATCCTTAACTTTGTTAAGGAAGTCAACCTAAGACAATACGCTACCTCACTTAATCATAAACCTATCCTGAAATATATGAGTATAGCCTGAAATCAAGTCACTCATTAGCACCAAAAGATAATCAGACCAGCACCATAAACCAGGTTCTTTCCAGTGGCACCAGAAGACATACAAGGGGAAAGAGAATTCGAGTATCTTGAGCTCAACACATTTCATGCTCTTTCTCACTGTCTTTCAAGTGCTTTTCCCATGATTTGGAAATATTTCTGAGTCATAAGTTTCCAGACTGAGAACTTGAAACAAATTCCGATTAGATTACATCCTTCTTTGCATGCTAAGTTGCTTCAGTTGTGTCTGATTCTGTGCAACCCCATGGGGGTTTTGATACTTTTGCATCCTTCTAGTCAGTGACTATGTGAACAAAACTGAGTAAAAATCTTAACTAGTTATTCCCAGCTTTTCCCGCTCTTTTTACTAAACAAACAATGTCATGTCTAACAGACCACAGCTCCAGTTTTACGACGACTGTGACTTCTAATTTTTTCCCTGGATCTATTTGTTGTTGTTCAGTCACTCAGCCATGTCTGACTCTACAACCCCATGGACTGTAGGATGCCAGGCTTCCCTGTCCTTCACCATCTCCTGGATATTGCACAAACTCATGTCTGTTGAGTCTTGATGTCATCCAACCATCTCGTCTTCTGTCATCCCTTTCTCCCCTGCCTTCAATCTTTCCCAGCATCAGGGTCTTCCAATGAATCAACTCTTTGCATCAGGTGACCAAAGTGTTGAAGCTTCAGCATCAGTCCTTCCAATGAATAGTCAGGGTTAATTTCCTTTCAGATTGACTGGTTTAATCCCTTGCAGTCCAAGGGACTCTCAAGAGTCTTCAACACCACAGTTCAAAAGCATCAGTTGATTTCCATCAGATCACAAACATTTCCCCCAGACTTTGGCATAAGTTATAGGACAATTTCACAGTGCTGGTGAGTCAGGAGAGGGTGGATATTCATATCCTTATTGGTATTCCCAGCTCCTCTCACCAACATTTTCTAAAGCATCCTCAATACCATATGGTCTTTGATAACTTATCCATGTAGGTCTTTAATCACCATAACATTGGTTACTCAGAGATCCTTCTCAGGAATGCTGTACCCCTACACCCTGCTGTAGCGATGGGACATTCTATGGCTGTAGCTAATTCTCTCTACCATCCCAAGCCACACTCAAGTACATAGGAATCAATGCACTCTCCTACAAGGCTCACACTTGGAACTTTGAGTTCTATTCAGCCTTTACTCAGAAGTGGTAACATAAACCTCTGATCTGAATTCCTGCAACTGTCTAGGCTTTTTGTTTCAACCAGTTCTCACCTTCTGATGCTAGTCCTTCCATCCACCCATCAAAGGCATCCTTATCAAATCCACCAATTGGGTTGCAGTTGAAGGTGAAGATGAGGTGGCAGACCTATAACTAAAGTAATTCATGACTTACAACTTTTTCAAAATAGTTGCTTAAGACTCCTTTCTGGGACTTCCCTGGAGGTCCAGTGGTTAAGACTTGGCCTTCCAATGCAGGGGGACTTTCCAATTCTCTTTCCACTTGTGTGCCTTCCAATCCCTGGTCTGGGGACTAAGATCCCACATGATTCACAGCCAAAAAGCAAAAAACATAAAGTAGAAACAATATTGCAACAAATTCAATAAAGGCTTTAAAAATGGTCCACATCAAAAAGAAAAAAAAAAAAAAACTGAAAAAAAAGACTTCTGCATTTATGTTTTTCCATTTTCTTTTTTTTTTCATTTATTTTTATTAGTTGGAGGCTAATTACTTCACAACATTTCAGTGGGTTTTGTCATACATTGACATGAATCAGCTATGGAGTTACATGTATTCCCCATCCCGATCCCCCCTCCCACCTCCTTCTCCACCCAATTCCTCTAGGTCTTCCCAGTGCACCAGGCCCGAGCACTTGTCTCATGCATCCCATCTGGGCTGGTGATCTGTTTCACTATAGATAATATACATGATGTTCTTTCGAAACATCCCACCCTCACCTTCTCCCACAGAGCCCAAAAATCTGTTCTGTACATCTGTGTCTCTTTTTCTATTTTGCATATAGGGTTATCATTACCATCTTTCTAAATTCCATATATATGTGTTAGTATGCTGTAATGTTCTTTATCTTTCTGGCTTACTTCACTCTGTATAATGGGCTCCAGTTTCATCCATCTCATTAGAACTGATTCAAATGAATTCTTTTTAACGGCTGAGTAATATTCCATGGTGTATATGTACCACAGCTTCCTTATCCATTTGTCTGCTGATGGGCATCTAGGTTGCTTTCATGTCCTGGCTATTATAAACTGTGCTGTGATGAACATTGGGGTGCACATGTCTCTTTCAGATCTGGTTTCCTCAGTGTGTATGCCCAGAAGTGGTATTGCTGGGTCATATGGCAATTCTATTTCCAGTTTTTTAAGAAATCCCCATACTGTTCTCCATAGCGGCTGTACTAGTTTTCCTTCCCATCAACAGTGTAAGAGGGTTCCCTTTTCTCCACACCCTCTCCAGCATTTATTGCTTGTAGGCTTTTGTATAGCAGCCATCCTGACTGGTGTGTAATGGTACCTCATTGTGGTTTTGATTTGCATTTCTCTGATAATGAGTGATGTTGAGCATCTTTTCATGTGTTTGTCAGCCATCTGCATGTCTTCTTTGGAGAAATGTTTGTTTAGTTCTTTGGCCCATTTTTGGATTGGGTCATTTATTTTTCTGAAATTGAGCTTCAGGAGTTGCTTGTATATTTTTGAGATTAATCCTTTGTCTGTTGCTTCATTTGCTATTATTTTCTCCTAATCTGAGGGCTGTCTTTTCACCTTACTTATAGTTTCCTTTGTTGTGCAAAAGCTTTTAAGTTTCATTAGGTCCCATTTGTTTATTTTTGTTTTTATTTCCAATATTCTGGGAGGTGGGTCATAGAGGATCCTGCTGTGATTTATGTCAGAGAGTGTTTTGCCTATGTTCTCCTCTAGGAGTTTTATAGTTTCTAGTCTTACATTTAGATCTTTAATCCATTTTGAGTTTATTTTTGTGTATGGTGTTAAAAATATGGAGCGCTTCATGAATTTGCATGTCATCCTTGCGCAGGGGCCATGCTGATCTTCTCTGTATCGTTCCAATTTTAGTATATGTGCTACCAAAGCGAGCACTGTTTTTCCATTTTCTAAAGCAGTGTATATCAAACACCTTGAATAACTACATGGGGAAAGAGCAAAATATACCAGGAACTACGAGGGAGTATCTCAGTTATCATATTAAAATATTGTTGTCATATATAAAAGCATCATAATATCAATTCCAGTGAGTAAAGTTATGGTACAAAACTAGAGTACAGTGAGAAGATTGAAAAATATTTCAGTCATTCAGACCAAACTGTGTCTTTAATTTCCCTTCAGAATCAACTGTTTCAGAATTATGAAAATACTTCCCTAATCAATCAGACCTTCTATGAAAAATATTTCAGTCATTCAGACCAAACTGTGTCTTTAATTTCCCTTCAGAATCAACTGTTTCAGAATTATGAAAATACTTCCCTAATCAATCAGACCTTCTACACTGTTACTCTTAATCCTCATTTACATCTATAGAGGTAACAGGATGTCTGCGCCCTGCAGCCTAAGCTCTCCACGAGGCACTGCTGGGGCCCCAGCAGGTTTGGGCACAGGCTGCAGGTGCCTGGGGAGCACTGTGTGCTCTGTGCACAGAGGTAGGCGGCTGAGTCGCTGGGCTCAGAGTCTCTGATAAGCAGGGAGACATGCTTGTTGGCTTTAGTGGCCTGCGCTGTAAATTTTCCTTCCTCTTTGTCTTTGTCGACATATACGTACAGCAGAAACTCGGGGCCTTTCCCAGGGTACTGTCTGTACCATACGAAGTACGTAGAAGCACTGTCAGAATAAGTGCAGCTGAGAGAGGCGACGGCTCCCTCTGGGACAGGCAGAGATGCAGGACTCTGCTCCACTGTGTTCTCTGAGCTGCTCACCGCTGTGCAGAGAGACAGTGACTAGTCAGTCAAAGAAGATTGGTTAGGTGGTGGATGCTTCCTCTCCAGAATTCAAGTTGTCTTTTCACAGGCCTCCCACCTCTACCATCCCTTATTTAAGGGAATAGTGTTCATGTTTCTCCATGAGCCTAGAAGGGACAATGACTCCAGATAGTATATTTTATGGTCCCATAGAAATGCCCCAGACTTACAGATTAACTGAAGCCACAAGATCACTAATAAAACTCTTGAAGATTTCATCATTCTTGCTTCCTCTGGTTCACTGAGGATTCAAATCTTAAGCCCTAAAAAAAAAAAAAAGAGTTGAGCTCAGACATTTCAATTCTTCTGCTTTAGAAATCATAAAAAAAGCCTGTTCTACCAAAGAAAAAAGGGACTTTTTGCATTACCCATGCAACACACCACTGAACTCCTCCTCTCTCCTCCCACTTTCTCCCTCTCTCTCTACCTCCCTCTCTCCCTCCCTCCCTCTCTCTCTCTCTCTCTCTCTCTCTCTCTCTCTCACACACACACACTCACATGCACACACAGGAAGGAATACATGATCAGGGTCCCTGAGAAGACACTGCCATCTTGTGGACTCAAGACCCTGATCAAAGAAATATTTGAAATATAGATCCTTACTATGGGAACTGATGAAAGTAAAAATCTCCCACTTTATTTAAATTAAAATTTTGAGAAGCATATGGTCCAAATCAATGTGTGTAGGGAGAAGGTGATGTGTACATGTGTGTTTTATATCAAATGGCAACACTTGTCTGATTAGAAGCAGTTTTATCAAATGGCCACTCTCTCACACTGAAAAATCAGTCCTAAGGTATTCTAGTGATAGAAGTCTGGGTGAGGCTCTCATGATTCAGGGGATCTGTGTAGCTCTTTTTCATATCAGGCCAGACCCTTCCTTTCTTATTTCCCCAATTCTATTTTTAAAGAAATCTAGTCTAACTCAAAAGAATCCTCTTAAGACACAATGACCTAAAATCTGACTGAACAAACATGTTTCCAGCTCACAACTTGGGCAGATTTTTAACAAAGCCAAAGGCCTAATTCTTAATTCCATTTTGTACCACTGGCATATCTGTGTGGAAACATTGCTTACTTGGGCTGATGGTAGTAGTAGATGGACCAGCCTTCAGTATCTAGGGTACAAATAAAACCCAAAGGATGGGTTCATGGGTCTAATCTCTCTTCTTGTACACCACCCTGGCATCTCAGGATTAATCTCCAAAGTTATGGGTCTGGTATCAGTTTCTCTAACAAGCTTCCCTGGTGGCTCAATGGTAAAGTATCTGCCTGCCAATGTAAGAGATGCAGGTTCAATCCCTGGGTGAAGAAGATTCTTCAGGAGAAGGAAACAGCAAGCCACTCCAGTATTCTTGCCTGGAAAATCCCATGGACAGAGGAGCCTTGTAAGGCTATAGTCCATGGGGTTGCAAGAGAGTCAGACATGGTTTAGCAACTAGACAAGAAGAGCAACAATCACTCTCTGCCTTTATATTGTACCCTAATCAGCAAACCAGGTTTATCAGAGGGCTATCTATGCAAGAAGCTTAATCGAGTCTAATGGAAAAAGAAGCACAGACAAGTACTATTCTTTCTCATTTCACTTCCTGCCTCATGCTTTTGTAGAAGATAGTGGCTAGAGACCAGCAATGCAGCAGGTCCGTTTCTGCTCAAGAATTAGGTAAACAGTATCCATCAAAGATGGACTGCTCAGGTCCTCCCTATTTCCACCGACGACTATGTAGGAAGTAGGATGAGGGAGAAGATGCTAACAGTGGGGTCTTTTTTTTGAGAGAACATTGCTTTTCACAAAACTCACACAGCTATTTCTCACTCTCCTCCTTTTCTGGGAATTCTATTATACTTACATCAGAAAATCTGACAAAGTCCCACAGGTTCTTTAGTCTCAGTTCATTTTTCTTCATTCTTTTTTCTTTCTGCTCTCTGACTGGATAATTTCAGTCAACCTATCTTCAAGTTCTTTCTCCCGCCTATTCAAATCTACGGTTGAATTTTTCTTCGAAAAATGTTCTCTGCGTAACAATTTCCTGCCCTGAGAGAGTGCTGTTATGTGACATATAGACAAGCCCTTTGCATTAGTCCTGAGGGAGCGCCAAGACAGGTTAGAGCAGTCAAGCTCTGTTCTTTCATGACCAAGAGCTCTGCTCCCTCCACCACCAGAAGCCCACACTGGGGATGCAAGCAGCTATCTAAAAACTGTCATGGATCCAGTGACGAAAAGATGGAACAGGATAAGTTAAAATACCACAGAGCTTTCCTACCAGGCTTATGTGTTTGCTAGGTTGCTGCACAATTTCTGTGGTGTTTGCCTCTATGTACAGATTAATGTGCTAAAGTTTCCTGTCTGTCTAAGCTGACCTCTTCCTTGGCCTTTGGCTGCAGAGAGAAGACTTTCCATGGCCTTTTCTGTCTGCATCTGTTGGCGTTTCCAGGTTCCTGGCTTCTCCAGGTCTCACTTGGGTTACATGAGGCAAAAGGAAGCTCAGGGAACTAACTGCTCTATCATTCCTCAAGCCCCAGTTTCCTTAGCTAGTCTGATTTCTCTTCAAATTCTTATGTTTTTCTTTTACATGTGGTCCAGTGTTTCTAACTGTCCTCAACAGGTTGAGTTAAAAGAAAAAAATACACCTACTACAGCTTGTCAGAAGTGAAAAGTGTGATGCTTCCTTCTTTCCCTGAAGAGCGAACCTCTGACCAGCTTGGCTAGTCCCCCTTCTTGGCAGCAGGCCAGTCAAAATGGTATTAAAATTATTTAATTGTTGTTCAGCCACCGAGATTCTCCTGTTGAATAAATATGGTCCTAGATTGTGAAGATAACTATGGTTTACTTGAGTACATTGCTCTAAGAATTCCCTTAAATGGCCCAGTAGGCCCAAGGTGGTGAATATAAATGACCTCTGTAAATGGCGTGAAAATGCCCTTATTCCTCATGCTCCTTATCATTCTATACAGAAGTTTTGAGTGTGATTAGGAAATGACTAGGAAAAATGGCAAAGTTATAGCTACTAGAATGATCACACCAATTTTGTGGTAGTGAAAAAGGAGCAACAACCCTGGTACCAGAGAAGAGAAAAGCTTAGACCCTGGAAAGTTTGTGTTTGTTGGAAGGGAAGATTGTTCATGCTCTGTTTGTATGCTAGACCCAGCACTGCAGCCTAAGCAGAACAACCATGTGGTCTGTGAAAACAGAAACATTGATATGAATATGGCTTGTCCTGGACTGTTCTGTGCCTGACATCATCAATCGAAGCTGTTCAACATGGATTCCTACCCCCTTATGTGTACAAACCTATAAATCAGCCCAACTTTGTTTGAGTATGGCAGGTTCAAATGCATATTCTTTGGTGTCTGCCCATCTTGAAGTATGCCTCTTGAATGACATATAACTTAACTGCTCCTATAATTTAATAAGCGATGTAATGATGATTCTAATCAAGTTTAACAATAAATTTAAAACTGGACCAATCTGTCTCTCTTGGAGTTATATGTTTATGTTTGGGAAGAAAGAACTTCTCTCCATTGGGAAGGATAGTTGATCTTTGGTCCCTTTTTAGAAATTAAACCAAAGACCAGTGTGACCAATTTCCTTGCATGGATCATAAGGAATATTATACTACATCCAAGCTTTTTATATCCTGGACCTTATTCACAAATGACTGAATCTGGGATCCTAGGAGACATGACTGAGCTTAATCATGCAGATTGGTCTCATCCTGCTATATAAATTTCTGCTCACAGTTGCTGTTTCTTCGCTAAGCTGTGTTCAGCTCTTTTATGACCCCATGGACTGTATCCTGCCAGGCTCCTCTGTCCATGAGATTTTCCAGGTGAGAATACTGGAATGGGTCACCTTTTTCTGCTCCAGGGTATCTTCCCAACCCAGGGATCAAACCAGTGTTTCCCGTGTCTTCTGGATTGCAGGCAGATTCTTTACCACTGAGGTACAAGGGAAGCCCTACTAATAATGGTTTTAATTAAATGTTGTTAGAGAAAAATCAAATAGATCTAATCTCAGTCTTTGTCATTCAGAGAAATCAGAACAGCAGATGAAGTGGCAAACTCTCAAGAAAAATTTCTAGAAACTAATACAATTTAGAACCATGAAGTGAATGTTGTTGAAAGGCAGTTCGCTGTGAGTCTCTTATACTTCTACATGATGTTCAGGGTTTACCAACAATGTGAGGTCATTACCACTCAATCTGAACCATTTCCCAGAGTTGTGCTTGCAGCATGTAACCTTGATGGATGGGGTGATGTCTTCTCTGAGACAAAGAATGAGCTTGCTTACTGCTTGGTGAAAATAGCAATGAATTCCCCAAGCTTGCTATTCATCAGCCATGACACAACCCCATCGCATGCATAGCATCCATTTACACCCCTTAAATCACCATGGGAGACTTATGGACAAAGGGAACTGAAGCAAATACTCTAGTGTTCATGCTGCTTGCTGTGTCTTATGTAATGACATCCTTCATCTCTGACACAGGATCTGTGACTTTACTGATAGCACCAAAGAAACAACAAGCTATTAGTCTGTAAGAGAGTAAGATCAAGGGGGAGGGAACTAAATGGTGGAGGAATAGGATGGGGAGACCACTTTCTTCCCCACAAATTCATCGAAAGATCACTTAAATGCTGAGTATAAACTCCACAAAACAACTTCTGATCGCTAGCTGAGGACATCAGACACCCAGAAAAGCAGCCCATTGTCTTCGAAAGGAGGTAGGACAAAATATAAAAGATGAAAAGAGAGACAATAGAGTTAGGGACAGAGATCCGTCCTGGGAAGGGAGTCTTAATGGAGGAAGTTTCCAAACACCAGGAAACCCTCTCACTGGCGGGTCTGGGGGAAGTTTTCGAATCTCGGAGGGCAACCTAACTGGGAGGAAAAATAAATAAAATCCACAGATTACATGTCTAAAAACAACTCCCAGCAGAAAAGTACCCCAGATGCTCGCATCTGCCACCAGCAAGTG